AAAATTATTGAATGATGAATTATATACTATATAATATAATAATATATAATATAGTTATGTTTTTGTGTTTGGAAATGTTTTGAAAATCTGAGCATCAATTATTTATGCAAATAATAAGCAGACATTCGATACTTTACTAAATCATTATAAAATCAGGTTTAGTGAATAGCCTTAACGCTATTCACATTTAGCATTGAAATAGTGGTTGCATTTTTATATTTATTTATTTATTTATTAAAGAGAGATATTTTCAGTGAGAAATATAATAATTTTTATAAGGTATTTTTATATCTCTTTAAAAAAAATATTACACTTTTTGAATCTATTCTTTAATTCTTTTTAAAAATTTTTCCAAGATTTTACTTTGAGGATTGTTTTTCCTTTTTCAATTAAAATCATTTCAATTTCATATATTTATCAATTTTTTTTCCAGTTTCTTTTTGTATTTTTATATTATTCATTAAAAATTAATATTTTCATTTAATCTTAATTCTTCATTTCTCGTTCAATGTCATAAAATTCCTAATGGATGATTTTTCTATCTTTTATTGAATTTATTTTCATTTATAATATTTTATTTATAATGATAATTTGTTTCTTAAAAATTTTATCAGTCATAGCTCATAGTTATAATATAATTTAATAAGTTCATGATTATTTAAATTTTTAATTTTATATGTGATAGAGTTAATGTGTGCGTTAATACATCTCTATAAAGACGTTTCTTGTTTTGTGTTAAATCTCCTTCCATATCTATTTCATTACTTGATATTGTTCTTGCGTCAGTGTTTTCCATCATAGTCCATGCATTTGATTTCAAATGTTCTGTAATTTGTTGTTGTCTCAATGGTTCATTGGTTTTCCATCCAGATGCAACCTTACCATGATCACATTTCTCTTCAAAACTTTCCAATTCCGTTACTACTGCGTTCATACTAATAAGTTCTTTAGTTTTCTTTGGACAACTTTTATTCAAGCATTGAAAGACATTATGTTCAGTCTTTTTATTAGACTGTTTAGATTGTTGTCGATTTCTTGAAGAACTTCTTCGAACTTTCATTGCATTTTTTGTCAATAATATTAAATTATCGAAGTCGACTCCTTGAGTATTTTTACGAATTTGAGATGGATCCGTATAGAGTTCCAAAGGACGTTGATAAACTGGAATAGGTGTTGGATTCACCTGATCACGAAAAATAACTATTACTTTCTCATATGTAAAAAAAAAAAATTTTTTTTTATCATTTATCATACATTTCAATTACCTGTTGAGGTCTTTGATTAATAATACTCGTACGTGTTGCTTGAAGGGATCTATAAACTGGTTGGTTAGATGAAGAAACTGGTATATGTATTTGTCCAGGTGTTGTTACTCTTTGGATCCATTGATTAGGTGTTCTCATATAATGGCTCGTGTCCATGCTTGGTAACATTGGTATAGGTATGTTCTATAATTTATCAATAAATATATTTATCGATTATTATAGAAAACATAACAATATTCTATATGAAATACTTGATGTTACATTTACTTGGAAACTTGTCACTACAACAGTTTCATAAGTTCTATTATAAGGAAATAATTCCTTTTGATAACTCTTCTCGTTCAACGATGGAAAATATTGTATAGGATTAACTCTTTGTTCTTTATGATTATTCAAACAGGTGACGGGACACTTTGGAAAAAATTCTGGAACTTCTGGACTCAAATTTGGCGCTAAAGGTTTTCTCATTATCTCATAGCTATCCGTTTGAAATCTAGTTTGATGATAATTCATTTTTAACGCCAAAGGTTGATACTGTACGGCACAGTATAATTGTTGTTGTCCTTTGCAAACGTTAACACGTTGTTCCTGACGATTACATTGTTGTTGTTGTCGTTGTTGATAGTGTAAACGTTTATTCGGAGTAATGAACAGCTGTTGTTGTTGCTGTTGTTCTATTTTAATTGGGTTCCAAAGATCTCGTACGTTTTCACAAGAAATATTTGTTTGCAATTGTAATTCACTTGGCGCGTCTATTGTATAACGAGGTGGTTTGTATTTTTTGTGATCACTGATTTCATTGTTCTTTCCTGTTGTATCTGGATTTTATAAAATTAGGATAGAAGATATTACAGATAGTATTATATACTAATAATATTAGTATATTCGTAGATATATATTAGTATACTCGTAGATAATATTGCGTATTAATAGTATTACATATTCTTATATACATATATATAGTATTATAGATATTTATAGAGAGAGGGAGAAAGAGAGAAAATAGAAATCAAAGTTATTTACCAATATTATTAGGTTTATAAATAGCAAATGATTCACCACCGTGCCTCCTTGTTCGTTTCTTTAGATTCGAGTTAATCTTATGTCCTGAATGTTCATTTTGCAAAACATCGTTCCAGTTTGCCTTGAAATGACGTTGCATACGTGTATTATATTCTTTTAGTGAACTATCGGTAGACTGCAATTCCTTCAATGCTGAGCTTTGCGAAGAGAATTATTTGAAATTAGCGAAATTGTTGATGTACGAACTTTTAATTGAAAATATCGAACGGCTAACAGTTTAGGATTCGCTCGTTTAACATTCCCTGAAATTAACCGAGCGAAATGTTCTTCCACTTCCGGTAACATCCACGGTTCCGTGATCTCTTTCGCATAGAAATGAAATGTCTTGTTGATCGATCGTATATCGTCATTCTCTGATCTATAGATCTTCTCACGTTCCTCGTTATACTCGTAATTACCATATTTTGAGAGTCGTGATCCTGGAATAACGTCTCGAACATGTTTCGGACAAGTACCATCTTTATCTTTGTACTTTTCGATCAGTTTACAACTCTGCTTATATATATATTTACACACATATCGATACATATAAAACTTTGTTTAAATTTATTTAATAAGATGAACAGAGGGGAAAAAAGAAATATTCTTTAATATATTTATATACATATATATATATATATATATATACATATATATATATTTACATATAAACATACACACATATACATACCTGTATCCACAAGGATTGATTTAAATTCCGATATAAATCCTCTTGATTGTATATCCAAGTTTGATCAGCTATTAAACTTATATTAGCATAAGCGCTATTTAAAAGCTCATCGTCGTATGACGAAAATGATGATAACATTATCCGTACATCATAAATGATCAAACATGTTCCACAATAATCGATTGGGAATCTATATCAAATTCAAAAGGGATGCATATCCGAGTGTGTTATCTCTTCCTAGATATAAAATTACATCTTTTTTTTTTTATACGTTGATCTATACCTTCTTTTGTGTGAAACAAAAAAATTATTTATATTATTATTATTATTATTATTATTATTATTATTATTATTATTATTGATATATATGATTATTGATTGAGATATATATGATTATTATTAATTATTATTTAAGTACATTGATGACAAGAGCAACGTGACAAGATTTTATGATATGAAGGATGATGAATTATAACATTTTCACAGCTGACTCGATATTTTTTGACAGAACACACTCGATATGACACACTATTGAATGTTTTCTTTTTTTTTTTTTTCATCTTGTTTTTCTTCTTTTTTCCTTCTTCTTTTCTTCTTTCGATTAAACGTTTTAAAGGATTAAAAGAGAAAAATTAGAAAAAGTGTTAATAATAATGAAATAATGAATAAAGAGAACGAAGAGAGTAAGAAAGTTTTACTTTTGTAAAAAAAATCTTATGCAAATTTTTTTACGTTTATTACAAGTAAACGCACACATACGTACATACATACGTACGTATATAGATACATACATACATACATACATATACATCCATACATACATACATACATACACACATACGTACGTATGTTCATACATCCATACACATTTTGTACAGTAAAACGCCTACGAATATATTTACAAGATATAATAGTTGATAATTTACAAATGTCGTGAACGATCGACACGAATTATTTTCTATATTCTATATATATATATATATATATATATATATATATATATATATATATATATATGTAATATACTACGGAGTATGAAAAATCAGTCTGGTAGCTTCGATGGCGCGCTTCTCGCGTCGATAAACGCGAAGCTTAAGAAAAAAAAACCAAAAAAAAAAGAAAAGAAAAAAAAAAAGGAAAAAGAAGAAAGAACATTCTCTCCCTTCCTCTTTAAAAAAAAATTTTTTTCTTTCTTTCTTCCTTTTTTTTTTGCTTTTTCTTTAAAATTTTTTATATACTAATGACGCAAATAGTTATTAAAAAATTAAAGATACAATTATTTACAGACGTCGTTGGACGATCATAGATCGTAAATTCATTTATTTTTTCATCTTCTTCTTGCTCGTTTCCGTATATATATATATATATATTTTTTTTTTTTAATTAACTAATTAAAAAAAAAATGATGGAGTTAATACGTTAAAAGTTAATGCATCGAATAAGTAACTAAATAACGGAAATATTGTATTCCCTGTCTTTCTTTTTTCTATTCTTTTTTCTTTTTCTTTTGTTTTTTTTTTTTTTTTTACGGACGAGTACCCGTGTGTTTACTTACAATGGCATTTGAAAACGTATACGCACGCGTTTTAATATAAATTATTCGAAAAATGCTAAAGGACGGGATATTAACGAATTTGAAAATTCGCTATTTCGGAAGATTTATCTAATTAAATTCGTATATATATATATATATATATATATATATATATATATATGTATATATATATATAGACAATCTGTAGATATAAAAGTATCTCCCTAAAAGAATTCGTTAAAACTAAGCGCTTATTATTTCGAGATAAAGTAATTTTGATTAGAATATCATCGTTCGTTATGTGTTTTTGTTTGTGCATATATATATACATATATATGTATATATATATATATATATATATATATATATATATATATATATATATGCACATATACAACACAGAATATTCTGTATATATATGTATGTATATACATATACAGAAATTCACAGACACATGTACGTTCCTGATCTATCGATTCGTATCAATATTATGATCAAGAAATCTGTCAAGATTTAATAAATGAACGCGAATTGGACAGTTTCTTTGGGTAGAATAACGTCAATTATTGTTATCATTTGATGACAAATTTGAATGATAAGAATGTTTTTTATAATTTGTCCTTGAATCTTATCAGACGTATTCTTCCGATGGTTTGGGTATACTAGCTGGTAGTCTAAGAGTATTCGGTACTCGATTCGCGCTGTCCGGCAGCTCGGCGATGTCGACAAAAACGCCGACGAGACTTTCAAAATTTGGGCCCCAATTTAATAGATAATCCCAACTGAGAGCCGTTGTTGTGGTCGAAGGTGAGCCATTGTTGGTAGGCCTGTAAAGACCACCCATATGGGTTGATAAATCATCGTCCGAGGCGACCAACGTGCTCAACGAGCCACGAAAGGAACTATCAAATCCATCGTAATTAACGTTGGGCGGTAATGGCGGTTTTGTTGATTGAGTTGATTCGTTTGTTCGCTGAGTGACTTCCTCGTCATCTTGTTTCGTGAAAAGATTGTCGGATCTTTTGTCACCAACCAAAGAACCATTATCATATTCGATTTCCGAACAGGTGAAACTATCGTTGCCACTTTCGTCGGTTGTAGAGGAATTTCGTCGTTCTAATCTTTCAACGGGTGGCGTGTGACGTCTGTGAAGATGAAGAGGTCCATGAGTAGGTGGTCCTCTGGCCTCGCTGGACGAACTTACAGCGTCTAGAGTCGATACGAGACTAGACGTTCTGGGTCTTGAGTTTAATCTTTCTATTTCTTCGGCTGTCAGGCCCATCGGACCGGATGATACATTGTTCACCGAATTTTCGTTATTGGATTGCGGTGCCTTACGACTTGCCGTTGATCCCGAGAGTTGGCTCATGATCGGTGAATTTAAACTTCTCTCGCTGTTCGAATTTAGAGCGTCTTTTCCTACACCACCGGACGATGAAGTGGTTGCTAATAATGCACTTTGTAAAGGCTTCCCACTGATGTCGTGTAACGTTAGGATTCTCGGTTGTTGAGCGGACAACTCGCTACTCGGTGATAATCTAGCTAAAGGTGTACTTTGTAATAATTTCGGTGCTGGCCCAGGTGGTTGATTTACGTTTGGTGGTGGCATTGCTCGTGGTGGAAACGGACCGGCGTGTCTGTGCTGTTGTCCAGTATGCTTGTGATGATTTCCATAATTACCAATGGGCGGTGGCGTCGCCTTGTATTTTCTCATGCCATCCCTATAACCCTTGTAATGATAAACTATGTCGATGTCACTTGGAGCGATGGAACTTGCATTTTCGAGGTCATAATGCTCTGGCATATCAGGTTCCTGATTGTGTTCGTGCGAATGAAGAGAGGTTTGAGTAGGTGGGGGCAAAGGTGGATGTTCGTCTCTGATCGGTGGTGATTTCGTTACCTCTCGTTCGATTATATCTGGCCTTTGTGGTCTATGCTCACTCGTCGAATTAATTTCACGTTCCTTGTATTTCTTCGATATCAATTCCGGGCCCATATGTCCAACACCACGCAAATCAGATCCATCGGAAATGTATGTATTTTCGTGACGTGACATGAGATTATCATTACCTGTTCCTACCAATGGATTACCGGTCATTATAGCGTTCGTATTTTTATTTACTACAGATGGTGCCGACTTTTCCTTGTTCTGACGTCTCAAACGGAAAACTATGAAACTCACGAGGATCGCTATTAACAGGATAATGAAAAACACTATGACTAGGGTGATACCGATGCTAAGAGGATCGGCTGATGTAGCTGTGCTAATGCCTATTGGTCCTCTACAACCGGTATTAACTTTTCCGTGATACAACACGTCCTTGAAAATAGATCCTGAACCGTTAAATGGTTGGAGTTCGTTGTTTATCGTAAAATTTGCCAGACAACCTTCGAAGCTCTTAGCGCCAGCACTTCGAGCGTGATAAAGATTCTGGCTAGCTCCGCCGATCGATAAGACGGATAAATATGGGTCGAGAAAGTCGTGAACTCCAGCTAAATCCAATTCGTCTCCTTTGGATACACCATCGACGAGCAATCTCAATCCTCGGGAATAAGCGTGTAAAGTTAAATTATGCCAGTTACCATCTGCTAGGCCACCTTCAACGTGCATGGTCATGTTAACAGGAGAACCCAATAATGATGCATAAGTCAGCTGACCGCCTCGTAACTGTAATGTATGAGGAATATATGACAATACATGTTTAATCCTATTTGATCATGTCAATTAATAATATTATCTTACCTCTACTGACGTATAATGCTTGTTCGTTGCAGCATATATCAAAATGCCATCAGGTTTGACAGTACGGAACATCAGGCCAACCGTTTTTAATACTGGATTCACCGTGAACATATTTGACTCTTCACCGACTGTTCGTTTTGAACGATTTTTATACCACATTGTTGATCCTCCATAGAGATATTCTAATAATTGTATTCTTCTATGCTTGTCTGATATCTATGGACGATAACATTGATAAATAATATTTTGCTGATGTAAAGCAATTATATGTTAATGTTTTTTTTCTTCTTTTTTTTTTTTCTTTTCTTTTTACATTCTATATACATACCTTGAACTCAATATATCCACCTTCGCTCAAAGTGACAGGCTCGAACGCACCATGACAATTCGGTGCAATTAGTAATCCACATTGACAAGTTACTTGATGCCATTTATCGTAACACTTTGATTTTGGTCCGCAAACAGAGACTAAATCTTTATCATTTTTCGAGCATGGGCTTTTCTCTGATCTACTGCAGGTAGGTTTCACACCTCGCAATGCTAATGGATTTGTCAGGTTTAAAGATCTTCCGTTTATCGATACAGAATGCATGCAACCAACGAAATCATCGGAATGTACTTGTCCAGGTCGTTCCAATACAGGATCGACATTTTCAAGGCCACCCAAGAGAAGTGGATTGTTATTGAAATTCAAGGTCCTATAAAAATGATATCATATGATTATTTGTGATTATGGGAGGATTAAATTAAAAATAATATTAGTTTCAATGAGATATTAACCCTATTGGTCCAACGTCATCGGCATAACAAGTTCCATCGCCAGGTCTACAATCATCACAAATATCACCGTGTTCTCTGCACGTTGATACGCTCAAAGAAATAACTCTTCCATTTCTTGTGGCTATCACTTTCCACCATTCCCCGTCCGACACACTTTTCTCATTCTTTATCGATACCGATGTAATAGCACTTCTTGCACCACCATAAGAAAACACGACTCTTCCATTAATTAATTCTAGGACAACAAAATCTGATCGTCCTCCTGTTTGTGGTGCATAATTGTATAATAACAAAGCATCCGGTTTTGTTGTAGCGAAGACTATAGTTATGTCATTAGTGTTGGCATCTAATGCTGGGAATGTCATGTAAGAAAGTTCATCGAAACCGAAAGTAGAACGTTCGCAATGTCTTCCATAACGTCCTTCTGGACAACTACATCTATATCTGTAATATATATATAAAAAAAAAGAATATATGTATAAATATAAGAGAGATGAGTAAATTTAGGATTAGGATTCGATCAAGAATAAAATGATCAAGTACCCTGGTTTTTCTCCGACACATAGACCACCATACAAACATGGATTTGGCCTGCACGAATCTGTAATAGCTTCACAATGATTTCCTCTGTAACCAGGACGACAAAGACAGAAGAAGCTAAAGCTGTCAGGACTTTTCCTACATGATCCACCATTTCGACAAGGATTACTGGCACACGCATCCCCTCTTTCCAATTCACATATTTTTCCTTCACGATCGATAGGACATGTACATTGAAAGTCATATCCCAATCTACGACATTGACCACCCTATAAAATGATAAAATGTTGTAAGTTACACAACAATATATTTTCTTTTTTTATATATATCTATATATATATATAGTTTACGAATTGTTTATTTTTTTCTCACCAATAAGCAAGGATTCGGTGAACATGGATCCTGCCTTCTTTCACATTTCTCACCGGTAAAACCATCTCTGCATATGCACATCATTTCATGTAACATTCTTGGGGATGTTAAGATCAAAGTTTGACTATCGGTGATCCTAGCGTCATCATATATGGCTAGACGACTAGTACAACTACCTCCATTTTCACATGGCATATTTTTACACGGAGAATATCCAATTGTAAATGTAGTCCCATCGAACAGTGATTGAATTTTATCTCGGTTACGTGTCAATAGTTCGCTAACTTCGTATTTCGTGCGATAACCTGATGAAACAATATTTAAAATTTAATGAATCTTTGTCATATAGGTAGACAATGATTGTTATCATTTTTATTTCATATCGTTTTACCTTGCGGAGTTTCAATAGCCAAATGAATATTAGCATTGCCATTGGTTTCTCCAAGACTGAAAATCGTTACGGTATCGTCAACCTCAATTTCTTCTTGTAATAAATCCAATAGTGCACGATAATGTTGATTTAGAAAATCTTTTGCATTTAATTTCATGATTTGCAAGGTCACACTATTTTCTATCGTTGCGTTTCTGAAGGATATGAATTCTACGGTGACTTTTGATATTACGTCAGGATGACGGCCATCATTACCGGATACGCTTAGAGAATATCCGATACCTGTATTCAATAATAACAACAATAATTATATTATACTGATAAATATTCGTATTTTTATTTCATGAGATAAATTATTACGTACCAGGTGTAATCTTGTTGGTATGCAAGTCGCAAGCATTTGGAATACTCAAAACTCTAGTGTTAGAACTTTGAAGGATTTTGCAAGAATAAACCCCAGTGATATCTGGATCGTTAGGATGCACATCTGCAATTTTACCAAGCGGAGTAGCCCCATTAAATGCATGTACTATTACATGGACGGATCGTGGTGTCGAAGGACTATCGTTTTGATCAGTGACGATGACGGTTATCGTATGTTCACTTTTCATTCTTGGCACTCCAGAATCTTCAACTTCCACCTATTTCAAAAAAGTTGAAATATGATTTCTCTTTCTCTCTTTCTCTCTCACACACATATACACACATACACATATATATTTGATTGACATATACAAAAGTTATCATTTTACTTACGACAAGATCCAACTGTGGCATAGTCTCCCTATCTAAACTTCTCGTTGTCCTTAGAACACCAGAATGTTTATCAAGTGTGACCATATCACTTTGCCTACCGCCAACGAGTCTGTACGTAAATGGTGCACCATTTGGTGGTAGATCAGGATCAGTAGCGCTAAGGGTCATGACACTGGTACCAGCTGGTTCATTTTCGCTTACGTAGCCGATTACTTCAGGGGGTTCAAAGATCGGTCCGTTGTCATTGACGTCAAGAATCTCGATATGAACAGTGGCTGTACCAGTTTGAGGAGGTGAGCCAGTATCTATAGCACCAACGGTGAGATCATAGGAAGATATAGTTTCTCTGTCAAGTTGTTTGGCTGTTTCGATATCGCCTGTTTGTGGATCGACTTTGAACGCTTGACCAAGATTACCACTGATAATGGAATAAGAAAATTGATTGTTCTGTGGTCTTATATCTTTATCTACAGCTCTAACAGTTAGTAAACGTGTGCCATGAGTTGCTCCTTCCGATACAGTTGCCTCATAAGTGTTTTGAAGGAATTCAGGTGGATCGTTGCCATCTTGAATGGATATTATTACTTGAGCTTCGTCAGTATCGTTTCCACGTATACCACCACTATTCTTTGCCATTACTGTCAAGACCACACGATTTTGTGTTTCACGATCGAGCCTTCTGGCAACCTTTATTATACCAGTTTCAGATCCTATTGTAAAGCCACGATCGTTGGATGAACCAACGAACAAGTAATATACACGACCATCCTCTCCTGAATCCTGATCGGTCGCTTGAACTAGACCTACAGAAGTACCAACATCAGCACTTTCTGATACATCCATATGGAATACTGGTTGAATAAATTTGGGATAGAACTCGTTCACTCCTGTTATATGAACATGGACACTCGTAAACCCAACCATTTGGGGACTAGATTCTGGATTAGCTGCGATTATGTCTAAAGTATATTCATTGGCTTCCTCGTAATCGAAACTGATTTCTGACCTTATCACCCCTGTATTCTCATTTATACGGAAGTGATCTTTTCCTGTACCACCTAGAATCTTGTATTCTACTACGGCATATTTTGGCGAGTCAATATCATGGGCTATTACCTGTCAACATATAATAATTTTGTTTAAAAAATATTCTTTATGATATGAGGTCTTTGATTGCTTAATAAATTGAGTCTCATTGATATTTGTTAGTAAAATAATGTGTTATACAAACCTGATCTACAAAACTATTAGGTGGCGAATTCTCTGGTAAATATGCTTCATAAATACTCTGATTAAAAGTGGGTGGATTATCATTAATATCCGACACAGTGACAGTCAACGTAGCGACAGCTTGTTTCGGTTCGAAGCCCAAATCGGTCGCTGTTATATTTAATCTATACTTTTGAACAAGATCGTAATCCAAAGGTTCCAAAATAGTGACTGCTCCAGTAATAGAGTGTACAAAGAATTCGTTTCTTTCATTTCCAGCTGATATTTTATATCGTACCATGCCATTCGGACCAGAATCACCATCCACAGCACTGATAGTTAATATAGTTGTATTGACCGGTTCATTTTCAGGTACTCTAACCTGATAACTAACAGCAGCGAAAGTTGGGGAATGTCGATTATCACCTGATATTACTAAAGTCAAATTGACTTCGTCTTTCTGTGGTGGCACACCTTTGTCAATGGCACGTGCCTTCAATACAAATGTTTTACCCACAGCAATACCAGCCAAACTTCGACGTACGTAAACCCAACCAGTTTTTTCATCGACCGAGAAATAATCATAAGTCTCGTTGATGCTCATTAATGAATATCTTATCTCAGCGTTAGCACCGAAATCTGCCTCGTCTTTTGCACTCAATTGCATGATCTTTTTACCGACCCCATAATTCTCCGGTACCGGTGAAAGATAAGATCTCTGTTCGAATTTAGGCGTGTTGTTGTTGGCATCGACAACGCTCACGTGGACAACAGTTTTCGAGGATAAAGGTGGTTTCCCATTGTCCGTTCCAACTATCGTCAAGGAATATAAATTTTCTGGAGAGGAAGGTCGATGTGTATGCTTGTAACGGAGCAATCTTTTGCTAAATATATCACCGGTTGCTGGATCAACCGTGAAAAGATCCGATGGTTGTAAAAGACTGTAAGATATCACTGAATTTGGACCCTGTTTATCATTATCCACAGCTGTAACCTGACCCACGTGTGATGCAGGTGGCTGTAACTCAGGGAAATGGAAATAGTAAACTTCTTCATCGAATTCTGGTGGATTATCATTTTGATCTTGGATCGTGATAGTCAATGCCGTTTCTGTTTCCCATGCACCGTCGGCTGCGACGATCTGTAAGTAATATATTTCGTTGGTGATACATTATTAAATTATAGATATTATTTCACTAAAGAAAATCTATGTCAAACGTTTAATGTTATATTCTAAGAAACTCTTTCGAAATTCAGTTTGACACGTTGCATGACATACATGACGTATTTTCTTACTTATCCCTACTAGATGTGCATGCTGAAATACAACTTTTTCTATCATCGAGTGACAGATATACCGATCTGTCTGCTGGTATGTTAAGGTAGAATAGAGCAAAAGATATAAAAAAAAAAGAAAAAACAAAAAATGTTACACTTTCTATGACGATATTATAGGGGAACAAGACAGGTCGTCTATAACTCCAACCAGTTTTCTTCTCATTTTTATTTGCATTACATAAACTTTCATATATCATATTAATTCATACCTTTAACAGATATTCATCTTGTTCTTCTCTGTCCAGGTAACCAGCCACCGTAACGTTACCACTTATTGCATCGATCGAAAACTTTTTTCCTGGATTATCCGTACAAATATAAGTGACGTTCGCATTTTGACCGATATCCATGTCGCTGCTGGTAATACGTATGACAAATGTACCGATCTCTGCGTTTTCTGTTACATTGACACTGTACAATCTTGTGAAACGTGGTGGATTGTCATTTTTGTCTAATACCGTAACAATGACCATAGCTGTGCCAGTTAATCTTGGCTGACCTTGATCTCTGGCTTCAACGATCAATTCGTAAGATGATATCTATGGAATGAGAATAAAATTGAAATTATTCAAATAAATAATCAGTGGGATTGTTTATTAGGAGGGAAAAAAAATTGGACTTACATCTTCTCGATCTAATTTCTCGTTCGTACTGATTTCTCCAGTATTGCTATCGATCATAAAGGATTCGGAAAAGTCATCGACTAAGTAATAAAGGACTTGTCCATTTTCACCGGAATCACGATCCTTAGCAGAAACTTTGCATACGAATAAAGGTGGATATTCTTCTTCTGGTACAGTTGCATTGTAAATGGATGCATCCATGACCGGTGCATTATCGTTAGCGTCGGTGACATTGACCAACAATTGAACGACACTTCTTAATGCTGGCGCATCGGAATCTCGGACTTCGATCCAAGCTTCATAATATGGTGCCGTTTCATAATCGAATCCAGAGGCAACTAGAACCTAGATATAAAAATATTTAATAAAATATTAATGAAAGAAATTATTTTTTGTTATTGTGTCATTATTTATTATCATACCTCTCCAGTATTTGGATCGATTTTTAAAGCGTCACCAACGTTTCCACCAGCAATACCATATACCAGATTACTAGCAGCACCGTCTTTGGGCGTCGTTGCGCTTAATTTTGTTATAACTCTACCTTCGGGCACATCTTCTGGCAAAGTAAATCTTGTGTTAATGTTAGCACGAAAACTGGGAAATAGTTGTCTCTCCCATAAGTGTATCATTAGATCGGCTGTGACGTATTGTGGTTCTGTACCACAATCGGACGCTTGTATTTGTAATTGGTATGTCGTTTCATCGCTTGTTAATTCTTGAGTGGCTCTGATCACGCCACTGTTGGAATCAATGATGAATTTGTCGGCATCGTTACCTTGAAGACGATAAACTATTCGTGAATTTTCACCGTCGTCATCATCCGTAGCTTTGGCACCGAAAACGAAGTCACCTGTTTTGTTCACAATAAATAAATTATTAAATATTATTTTATTCGATTGTATTAATGTGCTTCAAACATATTAACAGAGGAATAACATTGTTATATCGACTTTAGAATTATTCTTACCAGGCTTGGTTCCACCTGGAACATAAGCCGTGTATCGTGGACTAGAAAATCGTGGAGCATTGTCGTTCACATCTTTCACCAATATTGTCAAATTGACGGTGGATGCTCTTGGCTCGGTTGGACTAGAATCTCGTGCCACCAATGTTAAATGATAGACCGACGTTTGTTCCCGATCCAATGGTACTACCGTGGAAATCTCTCCCGTGTCGGGATTAGCTGAGAAACGTTCAGCTTTCTCTCCCAATAAACTATACCTGTTTGCGAAAAAAAAAAAATATATATATATATATCGATCGATTTCCCTACATCTTTTTCTTTTTTTGCTTTTTCTATTTGAACAACACTAAATCAACATTTGATGATTTTTTCTTTTGAAGTTATGACGGCAATGAGATAACGATGAAGACGATAATGTTTACCATATCTTAGCGTTCAATCCTTCGTCCCTGTCGGTTGCCAAAGGTTTTGTCACCCAGGTACCAGCTGGCAAGTTCTCCGTTACCGTTGCTTTGTATTCCTGCCGAGCAAATTCCGGACTGTGATCGTTCACATCGAGGACGACGATCTTCACGATACCTGATCCAGTTAAAGGGGGAGAACCTGGAGTTGACCAAAATGAAAAAGAAATATAGATTTAATGTAAAAACATTTTTTAATTTGTCTCTTCGATAATATTTAAGCTTCAGACATGTAAGTACGTTATGTATTATATCAATGAAATTTTCTTTCATTATCATTATCGTCTAATCCATTGGACGGATAAATAAGTGCAACAAGTCCTTGTACTTTTGGTAGTTTTGACGTCACGATTATTCTATTCGATTTATTACCCCGGTTATGGACCGTTTATAGGAGCGTAAATCGGTTTAAGAGGGGTGCTGCCAGCAAGGCTATCATTTCGTCGGCTTGTTATTATTTCTGAAAAGCGTATCCCAGCAAAGAAAGAAGGCCCCCAATACCTTTCGGAGATTTCAAATTTAATCGCAGCGATACGTGGCACCGGTCTCTCTCTCTCTCTCTCTCTCTCTCTTTCGACGGCTCGCTCGATCGATATTACAGACTCGAGATTCTTACCGAAGATAAGAGATTGGTAGAAATAATTCAGCGGACAGATGAAAAGGTATATAAATCGAATTATTTCGTTCCCTTGTTATTCCTCTTATCTTTTTTCAATAATGGGATACAGGGTGGTGGAAGTGTAGCGGGTGGGATTGAGTTTAGGGTTGAGGTTGGGGTTGGGTGGGATCGGGGAGGCGGAGAAGAGGTTGATGGGCACGCGTATAAAGGAAACCATAAACGTGGTACGTATTTCGATGATTTACAATCGCAGTCCCCTCAATCGAAAATTATTAGCGTTGAATTTAACAAATTTGCTTCTCTAATTTTCGTATTCGCTCGCGCAAAAAAAAAAGAAAGAAAGAAAGAAAGAAAGAAAGAAAGAAAGAAAGAAAGAAAGAAAGAGAGAAAAGAAAAAAAAAGGGTTAAAGTATTATTGTCATCTCGCGAATAATTTCTCAGTGTGATGATTTAACGACGATCATTTTTATCGACGATCATTTTGTGAATAAATTTAGCCGTAGGCCCGCAAGACAAAAGTATTTTCTTGGAAAAGTGATCTCCGCAATTGCAACCTTCGCATGACCGAAGGATAATAAAGCCTGTGTAGATACTGCCACGCCTTAATTATGATCACAAGGTGTCACGTATGGTTCCGATTGGAGATGCCGTATAGGTACAATGCAACTGCCTGAAAGAATCCTTTTCGCACAGAGACATAGCTACAATGTATATATAAGTGTATGTATATATATATATATATATGATGTATATCTATATGTGTAGTACACGTAAGAAAGTCGTACGTGTCATTGTTGCATTACAGCGATGCATCGATCGTATCGGATGAAAGGATTACTTTCTTTCTTTATATATTATTTCTTTTTGTATTATTTTTCTTTTTTCTCTTTTCTTTTTCCTTTTTACCCCAAAATTTACTTGCCTATTAAAAAGTATATTACGTAAATACGTAGGTATTTAAATTTCTAATAAACTTTTAATAATTTGGATTATTATTCAACGAACGCGTAACATACATATGTTATCATCGAAATTTAACAAAAAATAATTAAGCAAATGATAAAGACATCTCTTCTTTTCGAAACTCATATATATATACATATATAATATATATTTTTTTTTCTCATCACATTAACGACTCTTAAATACTCTCTTTATATCTAACCTTAAGATACATAAGTCGAAAGATCAATATTTTCCATTCGATCGGCCATTCCTTCAATCGTTCTATCGTTCCTACGTACATATACGATCATATGTAAACATTGAAGACGTTACCATCATGCTGATTTTGCAGTACGAAGGGACTCTCGAGAAGGTACGATAAACCTATACCTACTCTTAAAATCCACAAAGAGTAAGAGAGAGAAAAAGAGAAAGAGATAGAGAGAGAGAGAGAGAGAGAGAGAGAGAGAGAGAGGATGATTCGTACGTTCGAATTGGATTGGTTTGTGTGAGAAATCAAAAGAGAGAGAAAGAGAGAGAGAGAGAGATGGAGAATGCATGAATAAAGTAGAATATAATGTGCGAGCACGGGCAGCAGTACCCGAAAGATGCATGGTTGGGAAGAGAGGTAAGGCTGGTGGGGAGAGTAAGGCCCAGAAACGACATCAAGGAGGTAGAAAAGAATGAGGGAGGAGAGAAAGAAGGAAGAAGGAAAGGAAGATAGAGAGAGAGAGAGAGAGAAAGAGAGAGAAGGAGACCAGCACCAAGCCAAGAGGAAGGCATTCGAGACCGATTATCATAATCGCGCGTCATAACTCTGTAGGCTTGTCTACCTTGCCGGGCGACCGATTGGGCCATCGGGCCCAGCGATGGCCTGGCGTGGTGGACCGGTGCGAGGGTGAAAGGAGGGGGAAAGCAGACTACTGCCATCCTACAGTGGAAAGAAAAAAAATCAAGAAAAAGAGAGAGAGAGAGAGACAGGAACTGCCCATCGCTTAAAGAATCTCATCGAACAACCCACAAATTTATATCCAATTTGTATATTACAGCTCATTACTTAAAACCACCACCGAAGAGATTCTATGCTGATTTTCCATTTCGCCATATTGTTTTGCCGGATTAGCGATCGGAAAATCTGAATTCACTGGGAGGAGGGGTTGGGAAAATGTAAAGCTTATTGTTTTAGGACTCTATATACACCTTTATATATATATATATATATATATATACTTTGTAACGTCAGTATAGTATATACCTGTTGTAAGTATAACTTGTATTTACGATTAGTAAATATGATTCGATAATAAATTTTGTTTGGAACAAAGTGAAATAATATTGAAAAAAAAAAAAATAAACTAGGTACATACGTATGAGCTATGTAATTTACACTGTATTACAAAAGGGTTCGAGAGAATTTCTATTTTTTAATTTTCGATGGTTACCTACATATATACCTATATACATACATAGATACATACATACATATATACACACACATATATATATATATATATATATATATTTAAACCATGTTAGCGGCACTTTAAAGGATCAGGTAGGTAAGGTTTTTTCAAATTTTTTTTTTGTTTTCTTTCGACACTTCCACAACCTTTCTCGTTTGGAGTGACCAGATCGAGAATAATTGTCCATTGTTCAAACTAATTCGCAAGGAGTTTACGCGGTCCCCGAGAACTGGGCCCGTCTAGTATATACCGGTCGCCGGAAAAATATTCTCTCTAAAGAATACCCAGTGCTTATTTCAATACCGGTCTTTGTCCATCGAGTATGTATGTACGTATGTATGTATGTATACATATATATATATATATGTATGTATGTATGTATATATGTATGTATATACGTGGTACACGCCTATTTAGCAGTTCGTCCAGTACGTTTGTAAAACCTTCTGAAAGATATCACGAGGTACATGTTTGGATCTCTCTTTCAGAAACTTTTCTTTTCTTTTCTTTCATTTAATTTAGTTAGTTTAGTTTAATTTAGTTCAGTTTAATTTCGTAAAAATATTTTCGTTTAAATTATCACGATCTTTCGTAAAATAATTCCAATTCAATGTATTGATTTGTAATTAAATCGTATCGTCATATCGCGCTAAGAGAAACATCAACCTTACGTCGAAAGAGCGAGAGAAAAAGAAAGAATGAGAGAGAGAGAGAGAGAGAGAGAGAGAAAAGACCGAACTTTCGATAATCGAGAGTCGTTTGCATTAATGAAGTATCTCGATGGAGACGACGACTTACCAGTGTCCATGGCTACAAGCGTGAGAGTGTACTCCGGTACCAATTCTCTGTCAAGTGGACGAAGAAGAAATATATCTCCTGTGCTAGCATTTATTCGAAACAGGTCGGTGTCACCCTCCTTTAAGAAATATCTTACTTGATCGTTGTAAGGCGGTGTATCAGCGTCGTAAGCTTTGACCTTCAAATCGAAAAACAATGGAAGAAAAGTGTTACTTTATTCTGTAGGACTTTCGTTTTAACGGGGTCTAACGCTCAAAGAAATTCTGATTAATGAAATAAAATGAAAAAAAAAAAGAAAGAAAAAAAAAAGTAGAAAGGAAAAAAAGAACCCTTCAGAGATTTCCTTTGTAGGATTCTAAAAAAGAAAAAAAGAAAAAGAAAAGAAAAAAAGAGATTAGAAATTTAGTAGAAAATAATCGATTACGATATATGAGAAAGGCGTTTGCAAGCCAAATAGAGATAGATAGATAGATAGATAGACAGAATAACAAGTGATGACATCTTAGAACGCTTCTTGCCTTGGCTAATAAGAATCACCTTGCTCTTAACCATTAAGGGTACGATGTTTCTACGACGCAACGAGATCGTATTATTGGAAATTACCTGGATTACAAATCCTCCACCTGGCGGTACCATGTTCTCCATGACATGTGCCAAATATGGTGAATCGAGAAAGAGGGGAGCATTGTCGTTGATGTCGAGGACAGTTATGGTTACTTGTGCGGTGTCGCCACGCGATGTTTCGCCTACTTCCGCTGCACAATCTTCACCTCGTATAGTTAAATGATATCTTGCTTTGCGTTCGAAGTTAAGATTCTTGGCTACTCTTATTGCTCCCCCATCTTCGGAAATTGTGAAGTCTCGATTCTCGTCACCCTTAGCTATGCTGTATCTAACTCTACCATTGGCACCTTCGTCACGATCCATCGCTGAGACCTTTGAAAACGATTCCAAAAATGTTATTAATCTAAATCTTTTTTCTTTTTTATTTGTTTTTTTTTTTTTTCTTTTGATGGATTTTTTTTTCTTTCTTTTTTTTTTCTTTTTGATGGATTTCTTTTTCTTTTTTTTTAATTTTGAATCTCTGTCGTCGTACATCTTTTTGTTTTGTTTTAATAATTATCATCGACGAAATAATAGAAAATTGACAAATTTTACCTGAAGTACGCTTGCACCGATACTGGCATTCTCAGCGACCGTAGCGGAGTATTGTCTGGGATCAAAGATCGGCGAGTTATCGTTCTCATCGAGTACAACAACGGTGATACTAGTTGTGTTAGACCTAGACGGTTCCCCACGATCCTTCGCAGTAACTTCTAACGTATAGTTCGATCTTTGCTCCCGATCTAACGGGCCAGCAACGCGTAACAATCCATCGACTGGGCCCAAAGTGAATGGAACCTCATCGTCCTCCAAGGAATATTCTACGTAACCGTTTCTACCTTCGTCCTTATCAATCGCTTTTATTGCCATTACTATGGTATTGCTTGGTGAATTCTCTATTATCGATATTTTCGTTGGTGATATGAATTCCGGGGACATGTCGTTCACATCCAGCAACACCACGGTAACCTGTTGATAGTTGTTCTTTTTCTTACATGATCACATTGAGAAAACGAGCACGGGCGATAATTAATTATGTATTAATCGATTGCATCCGCAGAGTGAGTGAGTGAGTGAGAGAGAATGAAAGAGAAAGAGAGAGAGAGAGAGAGAGAGAGAGAGAGAGAGAGAGAGAGAGAGAGAGAGAGAGAGAGAGAGATAGAGATAGAGATAGAGAGAGAGAGAAAGAGAGAGAGAAAGACTAAGACGTATATACGTCTGTAGTGTGTGTGTGTGTGTATGTGTGTGTCTGTGAAACGAAGAAAGGGTGGGTCGAGTTGAGAAGAAGAGGAAGAGTGCAACAGGGACGCGGACTGCCGGGACAAAATAAAGGAAGAACTCCGGAGATAAGCTGGCCACGGAGACGAAACGCAACGATTTACTTTGGTAATTAACACGTTCACGCCACCTATAAATCAGGCGCGCTTTTATGGCCTTTCGGACGGAGGAGAGTCGGTATATCAAGCGCGTTTCTTGCTGAACTCTCGGAGCTCCCGCGCTCGTATTTATTCCACGTAACTCGACCACTTTCTTTCTCTCTTTCTCTTTCTCTCTCTCTTTCTCTCTCTCTCTCTCTCTCTCTCTCTCTTTCTCTCTCTCTCTCTCTCTCATTCACTCATTCATTCGAAGGAGACCGTCTGTTTCTTTCTTCATAAGAGAAAGGAATAAAATGAAAAAAGAAAAAAAAAAAAAAATAAATAAATAAAAAAAAAAGAAAAAAAATAAAATAAAAAAAAGTGTAAAATGAAATAAAAATAAGTGAAAGGAGGAAGGATCTAAGGGGAGGGAGAAAGAAAAAGGAGAAAGGTTATCAAGTTATCCTGCATTCGAGAATCAAATGGAAATAAAAGAAATATAAAAAGTAGAAGAAAGAGAAGGAGAAAAGAGTAGAGGAGAGAAGAGAGTTCAGGATGTAATTTAAACTTTTGCGTGAGAGAGAGAGAGAGAGAGAAAGAGAAAGAGAGATAGAGGGAGAAGTTGGGACAACCGAGGTGTTCAAATTGAAGCGTGACATCCTTCCTTCCTTTTCACTCTTTCTCTCACTCTCTTTCTCTCTCTCTCTCTCTCACACATTCTTTCTCTCCTAAAGATAGACACTCACCTGTACGGTAGATGACAAAGGACGAGAGGGTGGTACGGCAGAGTCCGTTGCGCTCAAAACTAAATTGTAAAGTGGCTTCCGTTCTCTGTCGAGTGGTTTCCTTGTGTAAAGTGTACCGTTCGCTGCAACACCAAAATCACCGTCCTCGTCGCCAGCAACCACGGCATAAATCACCCTACCGTTTTCCCAAGAATCGAGATCCTGGGCGGTGACCGTTAATACCGATGTACCAACGGTTGCGTTCTCGACGATGTCGGCTGCATGCGGGCCAGCCTCGAATATCGGTGCGTTGTCGTTTAGATCAACGACATTGCAATAAACAGTTACGGTCGATGATAATGCCGGTACACCACCGTCCGTTGCTTGGACAACAAGAATGTAATGCTGTATCTGTTTGGAAAAGAATTAAAGAAAAAAATTAAAGAAGAAGAAGAAGAAGTAAAAAAAAAAGAAAAAAGAAAAAAAAAGAAAGAACAAAAAAACAAAAAAGAAAAGAGAGAACAATTAAAATTGTATTATACGATATTACGAGAGTAATTTAATAGATTAATAGATTAATATGCGAGATAATAATTCGAAAATATATTTCTACAATGGCGAGTAATACGACGAATTGTCATTATCTACGATGATTATGCATCTTTTTTTCTTTTCTTTTTTTTTTCTCTATAGTAAATATTATTCGATCAATGAAAATAATATTTATCTTTTATCTTTTCTTTGCTTTTTTTTTTTTTTGTATATATATTTTTCTTATAGTTACAACAGAAGGATCGAAAGGATAAACATTTGTTATTGAATAATTGTCTTAAGTGAATATTTGAAAATGATTAAGTATTTTTATTTTGAGAGAGAGAGAGAGAGAGAGAGAGAGAGAGAGAGAAAGTGATATTGAATTTTTGTGCCAATTCTGATAATTATAGTTCTCTCTCATCTTGTATTGTGTGTCTCTTCTACTCTCTATCGTACGCGAAGAAAGACAGTGTAAGAAAATAACGTCTTCTTCCTATTATCTCGTGCTTGTGAACTGATCCCTTTTAAGGAACGAAGTTAAAGCGTTTTACAAAGAACCGATGCGAATTTCGTGGAAGAGCCGAATTATTTCTTCGTTTCAAATGTGCTGCGCTTGGATCCTTTGGCCCCCATCCGTATACGCATTTCACGGTCCCGTAATGATCCTGGCGTGTATCTGGGAACGATATTACGTTGATGAAGGGTTCTATAAACTACTCATTCTTT